AAATCTAGCAGAGATGATACAACGTCATTGCGAGTCGCCAACTGAGCACTGCAACAAGCCGTGCGAATGGCGCGACGCGTCGAAAGTCTCGAAGGGGAAGGACTAGATGCGGCGGTCTGTTGTGAGGCAGACGGTACCTCGACAGACGGTGGGGCAGAGAGAAGTGCGTCTGTCGTGTCCTGAGGATCCTCTGGTGGGGTAGCCAAGGGGGCAAACCGCGACTCGGTGGTCAGGAAACCGGCTACGTGCGAGGCCTCAACGATACACTTCACTGTGGCTAGTTGGGCGGGGCTGGTCGAGCGAGGTCGGGGGGGGACTGAGAGCGACGCTGACGAGAGATGTCAACATAGTGTCGATCGAGGGCGGCATAGTATAGACACCATGAGGAGATGTGTCCATCCTGGCGGCAACGAAGGAAGCCGTGACGGATCTCGAGGGCAGCTCGCTCCTCAGGGGATAAAGCTCCACGAGGAGGGACAAAACCCAGCGGGAGGTCTATTTGAGGAACCGTGAACGTGAGGGCGCAGCCTGTGCAACCCGGTTGCGTGCACGACCCATGGCGGATATAGCCATCTGCAAGCGCTCGGCCACCGGGACAGTGTCGTCATCCAAATGATACTGGATGACGTTGTCGGCGCGAATACCCTTACAAGGGTATCCGCCCTGGTTTTTGCAAGTGACAAAAGATAAGGTTTGTTCAGAAGTTGAGTATACCGTGCGGAGTTGCGGTTGTGTTTGGTTCGCGTTGACTGAATGGTTGACGGGGAGTAGAGTGTGTGTGGGCGCGCAGTTTTAAGGTGCGCGTGATGAATTTTATTCTTGATGTTATAGAGTTGGCGTTTCCGTCGGCAAAATTTTTGGCTTTGATTAAAACTAGGAAAAGTTTTTCTTTTACTGAAGTAACCATGGTGCATCTGCGTTCATACGGCATGCGTCATCGGAAGTGGTGTTGCCTCGGGCAGTAATTGGGGTGTGCGAGAGAAAGTAGAATGCAGGCAGTGACCTCTGCGCGGTAGATACGAGAGGTTGACGGTCGTAGACGGAGTCGGGCCCTATGAGCAGCGGGTGTCATAGGTCGGCAGTCGCGAGCTTGGTCCGTGGGCAGAGAGTAGCCGTGATGTATTTTGGTAGCACCGCGTGCCGTGCGTCAACAGGTTATATTGAAGTTTGCAGTGGTTCGTCTTAGCCTTGGGGACTAGCACTATTGGTAACGACATTGGACTCACAGGGCGGAGGTACAGGGATGAAGGGTGGCGACCCGTGGCAACAGAGCATTGGGGCGGTTGAAGGTGCCGAAGGGTTGAGGGCCCGGTGGGGCTATCCCCCCTTGGTTTCGTTGTCGGCCCATCCGTAGGCCCGGTCGGCGGAACTGAGAGTGGTACAGGCGGTCTCTTCCCCAGAGAGCACCGGTTCCCGATACTTATATCTTTTTTTTTGACCTCTATTATTTTAGTTGCCGGCCCTGTTTCTGGGATGCGGCACAAGCATCGGTACCAAGGTTGTTTGCGGGGTACCGCCCAGCGTGGGCTGAAGGGGCCCGCAAGATGGAAGACTATGCCTGGATGGGGCCAGGGGGGCACCGGTAAAAGGTTGCCACAGTACTGGCTGCAAGGTCCGAGCTGTCCCAGCAGCAGGCTACGTCGGCCTGCAAAGTTCTCATTTGAATATTTGCTACTATCGCCAAGATTTGTATTGAGACCCGCGGGGTGGTGGAGTAGGCGTGAGCAGCCATGGCCAGGGGAATACACCACCCGTTAACCTCAGCCTGCTGTAAAAAGGGAGAGGGTTGGCTGTGAGCAGGCCTGTGGGACCAGCAGCTGCGGACCCAGCTCAGTTGGTACAACCGCAAACTGCTGATAGGCCTGTGGCCCTGTGGGACCAGCAGCTGTGGACCTAGCTCAGGTGGTACACCCCCCGAACTGTTGAAATACAGACCTGAGTTCAAGCTCCAGTTGAAGTTGGGGAGTAAAATGCTGCAGTTCGGAGACTGCATGGGCCTGGGCAGTTCAATGACGATATCTTCGGGCATGTGCCCGAGGCCTGTCCTTCGGGACTCCTGTTAAAATTGGGACGATATTGAGAAGATTAGCATGGCTCCTGCGTGATCGGGACGCTGGAGAGGTTCCACGACCTGCTTTCAGAATGCTGCAGGCCGAGAGAAGCAGCGTGCAGGCCAGCCTGTCGGTGCTTAGCCTATGAAGAGGAGGAAGATCCAAGTGGTGGTGGGCCCTTGTGCGGTGTACCGTCCGCTGCCCAGCGACCACAACCTGCTGTATGAGATTTGAGAGTGAGCAGGCCCGTGAGGCATGGGACCGGTCCTACAGGTTTGCCAAAATCTAAAGTGAACCTTTTTGTGTGCCCATTTATCAGCAGCCTGTGTAGCCGCGGGGCAAGGGGAGTTTGCGGTCATATCGGAAGGTTGGCTGCGAATGTCCTATTTGTGTTTTTTTTTTTTTTTTTTTTAATCTCCACCTACCGGAGTTATTGCGCGACTTGTGGATGGTGTCTTAGGACCAGCAAAGGACCATTTTGCCAATGCACCAGACAGCCAGGGCCTAGTTCCATCTGAAAAGGTACAGCAGTGTGACCTGGACCATGCCCGAAACCTCAAATTTGTCTGTCCCAAAATCTGCATATTTTGCAGATTTGGGGCCGCAGTGGACCGCCTCATTGAGGCTCAAGGTACAGGTTTGCAGCAGGCCAGGGGCGCTGTGGGGAAGAGTGCAGCCATGCTGCTGCACTTCGTCTGTCGGGCCTGGGTGTAGGGGCGGAAGAACCAGGCCATCTAGTAGCTGGTTCCCTTGGAAGTTTTCCCTCGGGCCTGTGGGACGACATGCTGCAAGGGGAGGTCACAGTCGTGCTAATGTGCAGCGTTCGTTGGACTCGGGTATACGGGCGAAGGACTAATCGAGCCGCCTTGTAGCTAGCTCCTCAAAAGCCTCTCGCAGGTCTTGAAGCCGTCCAGTGGGCCGCTCCCTCGGGCGCTGTCGAAGCCAGAGAGAGAGGGGGACGAGGGAACCTAGCCTACGAACTGCGCCAGGTGCATTCTTAGAGAAGGAAGAACGTGGTGATGGGAGAGCTGGCTATGGGGGACGAGAAAACGAACACCCTGGTTGATTCTTGGTGGATCTAGGCGGGGAGAGATAGTAGGTAGGGGTTGCTAGACAAGGCGAATCAGAATATGAGGTCAGTTTAGTGGAAAGTCAATAGAAAGGGAGGTTAGAAGGAAAAGGTGTGCGCGGAGGTGGCTGAAAGGAGGGAGAAGAAAAAGGGAAAAAGCTGTATCTCTCGCTTGTTTCTTGACGGAAACGGGCAAGTGAAGGCTTGTTTCCTATGTTATTGGCTAGGGCGAATCTAATAGTGAGGTTAGAATTTGAATTTAGTCGTTAGTTTCGGTGCTACAGAAGAGATAGTCCGCGGAGCTATGGCGGAGGGAGAAGGAAGGAGCAAGCATTGCTCGCTCGTTTCTCAACGAAAGAGAGCGAATGAAGAAGGGATTCTGGGGTTTTTAGGCAGGGCGAGTTTAGTGGTAACATTAGTTCTGATGCTCGATTAGTAAAAGTAGAGTTAATAGAGAGTGGAGTTGCGCGGAGCTATGGCGGACAACGGGGATGGTAAGAAAAAAAGAAAAAAAAAGAAAAAAAAAGAGGGGAGTAACTTGCCGTTTCTTGGTGACAACGGCGGGGAAAGATGGGATTCCGGGGGTCTCTGATAGGGCGGTTTCAGCGGAATCGTTAGTTGTGGTTGTTAGTGGGTGGGTTTTGAGATACGATGGGTAGGGGCTGCGCCCAAAGGAGGGGGAGGAAGGGAACATGTATTCTTCCATGTTTCGGCAGAAGATTAATTCACTTTTGCTGCATCCTTCACTTCCGCATCGGAGCTTTCACTACAGTGTCCCACTGTCCCTCGCTCGCCATAGTGCCAATGTCACCTCGACTACCATACCCAGCTACGTTCCCAGATCTGCGGACTGGGTCCTCCTTCCCTTAGTGTCGGTGACTGGACGTGGCCGTATTAGTGGCCAGGCGCAGGTACGTGACTGCAGGCCTCACGGGGGAGGAGCAAGGAGTGAAGGCGACGGGGGGAGAGAGGAAAAGTAACGGGAGGGGGAGAACGAGTAGGGGAGAAGGGGTGCATACCTGGTTGCTGCAGCGGTGACGAGGTTGAGCCTGCCCACATGCTGCCGAAAGATTCACTCAGACGAGCATGCTCCGACGAACGGAGTAGCGAACAGGCCAGTGCTAGGGCCCGAGCAGGGGTTGGCACCAACGGAGGATAGTTAGGAGTGGTGCTAGCTTGGTGATTGTACGATTCAGCTCACCCCCACGATCGCCTTGTGATTCTATCTTGTTACGAGAGCTCGGCTTCCATAGTCTCAAACGAACCTGGCCACACGACAGGCCAGGTACATTCCTATAGAGTGGGGTTTGGTTACTTACCTACTGGTCTGAGTATCGCCCATCCGCGGTGCGAGGTTGGAGACTTCGAGGCCAGCCGCGGGGTTGGGGACTTCCGGTTTGGCCGGTGCGATGCTCATCGACCCTTGGAAGTAGCATCTGCGGTGTAGACGACTTACGTGAAGTCACTGCATTGCTCATTCTATGGATGGAAGTTACGGTGTGTTACCTCTCTGCATGCATGGCCAGGAAACTGTGTACAATTCCCTGTTCTAGCAGAAGATTCAGTCTGATTCCGCTCATTTGGAGTAGCGGAAGGCCGGCCGTACACAGAGAGAGAGAGAGAGAGAGAGAGAGAGAGAGAGAGAGAGATGAGGAGAAGCCGCAGATTGCCTGTTGGACAACAACCTGCATTTTGGCATCTTGGTCAGTGCGCTACGGATTGCAGACTGTGCAGTTGGCTGAACTACTGCTGCTAAGAACTATACCTGAATCACACTACCATGGAGCACAGATGCTGCTCTTAGGCGGGAGGGGCACTGTTGCTGTTCTCAACGTTGGAATGGCTGATGTGTCCATACTCTGGTGTTGACGGGCTGCCAGGAGTTGTTGTTCACAGCCAGGGCAGGGGCAGTGTGTCAATTGCAGCCAGAGGAATGAGCAGGTATGTCTTCAGCCAAGCAGCTTGGCCATGCTGCGCCTCGGAGGCTTGGCTCACGTTCTGAGACTGCACCTTCCGCTGGACCGGCCGGTTGGGGTGCAGTGGTATGCTGGGATAGTACATGATTGTGACGTAAAGGCAGATCAGGGAGTTGCCTTTCGCTGGGTGCAGGGTGATGACCAATACTCAGGCTCGACAGGCGTATTTGGCCAGATTCAAGCAGTTAGCTTATTTCCAATTACCAGGTATGGGTGATGTTGCATGACGGACTGACGGGTGTATCCTTTCACGTCCAGTGGGGGATTCACCCTTAATCTGCACATACGGAGAGTTGGCATGTGCTGGCACGCAAGTGCGGGAGAACATCGGAAGCACGTACCATTTAGAGGGCGGAGGATGTCGGGCGAAGATGGGTTGCAAAGTAGAGTTGCTCGTTGTTACGAACAGGCCGCTGGCGGGAGTATGGGTTCAGATTGAACATGAGGTTCGTTGCCAGTAGCGGGACACACCATTCACCTGATCATGCTTCAAAGCGCAATGTCGCAAGTACAGGCGAAGCGGCAGCCAGACAGGCTGCTGATTGTTTTGGTCAGTGCATTGATCACTCAGCTGCATAGGGTAGCCAATATCGAAGGGAGAAGCGGAGATGGGGAAATACTTACTTGGTGATGATAAGCAAGGAGGAAACTGTTGTAAATTGGAGGGACGACAGGGAGTCAACGGCAGTTGGTTTAACTTCAGTTGACAAGGTTGCTGCGCACTCTGGTCGCCATTGCGGGGCCCTCAGGCGCTGAAGGCTTCAAGGCCCTCTCCTGCGAGTCTGAGAGCACCCCTCTTGGATCTAAGTGTCTAAACTCTTCTCTTTCTGCCTTTCTTATTCTAAGTCTGGTCCTTTGGTTACGAGAGGAAGGCGGCAGGCGGGATTGCAACCCGTAGGTCCGCGCCAAGGCCTCTGTGGGAGGTTGCCCCACCGATTGCGGGACCTCTGTCGGAGCCCAGGGGGGGTTCTGGAGGCAGGGAACACTCAGGTATAAGCCTCGATTTACGCGTGTGATCCTATCATTAAACTGTATTATCCTTTTGCTATTGCCTGACTGTAAGTATGACTGAGAAAGCTAATTGTTTGTTTATTTGTTTGATTTCA